GCCATCTAGAGCCAATCACGAATGAGGTCCTGGTGTTCCTGGCGCAGTTTCTGGACGATCTGCCCCTGGATATCATTTCACGCTGGGACGAGCGGCCCGCGGTAGCGACACTTACCCGTACATTGGTACCGCATTTACTGTGGTCCACGTGTACGGAGCTTGACGGTGACAATTGTTGATAACCCTCCTCAGGCCACTACCTGATCATCGACGTGACCGACCTCACCTTGTGGGATCCGATCATCCGAAGAGTGGAGGTGGAAGGGGTAGCTGACGACGCGGAGGAAGAAAGAGAAGAGGAAAGCGAAGAGGAAGAAGAAAAAGACTCAGAGGCGGAAACCGACGATCCCGATTACCACGAGTCAGAGGAGAGTGAGTTGGGAGGCAGTGGGTCGGGCGAATCAGATAGCCCCAGTGGTCGAGCAAGGAAGAGGACGAGGCAGCAACCCAGAGGAGGCGAGAGAGGGCGGAAGGAAAACGGTCAGTGGAAGAATTTGACGGGCTAGCAACGCGGCTGTCACAAGGTGATCCGGCGCACAATCCAGAGGCGCCGCATGAGGAATCCAGAGGAAATGGCGTCGCCACTGTGGAGGGATCTAGAAGTAAACACCGCAGAAAAAGTCCAGCGCCGGCTCAATCCTCTTCACCTTCGCGGCCTACCGTTCGCCTACGTGGAGATGAGGGTGCTCGGGCTTCGTCCCCAGTCGTTATCCCACTGTCCCCTTGATTTTCTTGCCGTCCACCAGCTCACGAGCCAACCCCCTTTTCCTTCTAATCGGCATCCCTTCTCCCCTTCCCTTTTCCACCGCACGCCACCACTCGCTATATTGTAACCTCCTTCCCTCTCCACATCCTTAGCTTCAGCGCGGCATGACAGGAATATAATAATATAGAAGTTTATTGTATAATTTCTGGCACCAGCCCCGCCTGCGAAGGCTACGAGGATTTTCGCGCCGCTATTCCCTGCATCCTCTGTACCCTTTACCCTGATTACCTCGCTTCGCTCCCACACCAGGATCATCGCTTCCCCCTCATACATCGCACCGTCCATTACACCCGGCTCCCCACCGGCCCACCGGGGATCGAGAGTGGAGTCGCTTTCTACCACCTCTTCCCCAAGCTCACCCTCCTTTTCCCCCTCCCGTCATCAGACTACCTTTCCCCGACAACCTCTAGGATCGGACTCGGAGTTCGCGATGCCACCTTGGATGACTTCCACACTCTCATCTTATGGTGAGTGGCACGTGTCAGCTCCACGATGATCGTTGGCAAGTTTTAGGACCAGCCAACGGCAGAGAGCAAGCAGGAGCTTGCTCAAGATTGGAACCCCCTGGGCGTTACATATGTGACAAACTGTTCTCTGCAACCACGCAGATTTCTACGCAAGGCTATATCCAGGAGGAAGGGGGGGGGAATTGACTGAGTAGGAATGGTCTGGCGGATTGCATGGATGCCCCTGTTTTTTCTTGTCTCTTCCGACTTAAGACTGGTCTGGTCCCACGACGGTTGACAGTTGATCGTGCCTCAGCGAGCGCAACGAATAAACGGTTGTCATAGCTTCTTTTTTGTTTTGCTGTGGGAAATAAGAATTTTGGCGTGATTGTCGCGCGGGGAAATCTTTTTGAATTTTCAACTGATGACGAGCCCCCGAGGGCTCTCAGAATCTGCTTCGTTCGGATTTTCTTTTTGTAATTAGGACTTAGATTAGGAATTTGGGCGCATCTCAATTTCTGTTGTGCAACACTTCCTGCTTGCGCACGCTCTGACTTTCCCTCGCCTTAATCTCGTATGTAATTGTAACCTTTGTTTGACGAGCGTAATTGCAATTGTAATCCTCTTGTTCTTGATATCTTTTGTGGCGCCTTTGCGTGCGCATACCTCTTCCTCATCCTATTGGCCTGAATGCTTGCATGACCGGATCGATGTGTGGAGTGTGGCTACGTTCCCCACGTCGCGGCCTGACCATGCAAGCGTAAGCACTTCCTTCCTCCTTCTTCCTCCCACCTGAACATGATCCCGGGTATCTCGCGCAAAGCATGCATGCTATAAATCTCGCACGCACGATTAATTCGCTCTCTAAGACTTTTTGGAGTTAGCATGGTCGAGAGGATCGGCTAACGAGCAGGAGGTGGCAGGTGAGTAAGAGAGTTGGGCGATCCGACGAGCTGGTGCTGGGCGTGCGGGGTTGACGTGGGGCCGCGATGGACTGTGGCACACCGGCGAACCTGACGGGCATGCTTGGGTTAAGAGGGGTGACAACTCGGCATAGGTGCGAGGCGACGGACGGACTGCATCGGAACATTGTGAAGAGAAAAAGAGAGAGAGAGAGAGAGAGAGAGAGAGAGAGAGAGAGAGAGAGAGAGAGAGGCGGGAAGTGTGAGATGAACTTCTTCTTCCATCCCTCTAAGCCATTTTGATTTTTCTTCTTTCCTTCTGAGCAATTTTGGTATCCTGCACAAGTCGCCTTTGTTTCTTTCGATCAGCATCTCGGATCTTTTCCTCGCTTGTCTCTAGTGATTGAGACTGTTTCTCGCATTTTTTTCTCCCCTCTATATGGATGGACCTCATTGATTGGTTAATTGCCTAGGATCGCATTTTGTACGATCCTGATGCATGAATGATTGTCACCTTCCTTTTTTTGTTTATGTATGCATAAACTGGACGGCGATGGGTATTTGTCTGTCGAAATTAAATAAGCATGCTAGATGATCAAATGTTTGTCTCGCCATAAAGCTATCCACCCTCGGTTAACAGGCTAGCACGTACGAGACCTGGGTCATTAGTCATTGTCTTTTGAACCAAAGGGCAGGCCTTGTGCACGCACATGTAAGCTCGATCAGAAGAACGTGGCCTACACGCGTCTGCAGTGCCTGTGCTCGATCCAACTCTTCGAATGACTGAGTTTATGCCTCACCCCACAACATGAATATTGAACCCCCTTTTCATATTACTGAATGCGAGTGTTTGAGAGATCCGAAATTCCGGGAGTATTGGGAACACGTGTGTCTGTCTGCACAACCGAGGAGAGAACTTCCTGAATTTCCATATCCGGTGGGAAACAAGCGCATCTGCGAGTGGGATATCGACCTAGCTCGAGAGCGCATTCCCCACCACCCGGAATTCTCCAGCTCGTACACGTGTCACCTTGTCGCAGAACCAGAAATAATTTTTCTGGAAACTGACTTCCCTCCCTACTGCCGCGTACGACCCTTCCATTCGCTGACCATCCTCCCCTGGCGTGCAATCGCTCAGTATTGGCCCCAACCCTTGTGCTCGGAGTGCTTGCAAGACCACGAGCACCGACCCTCCGGTTTCATCCAACGAACCCGTGCAGAGGAAGAACGACGGGCGCATAGCCTTCTGCTACGGCCAGCCGCGTCGGATTCCGAGACTAGTGACGCACGACCCCAGCAAGTGGTCGGATAGTGTGATAGCCATAGCATCCCAACAGTGCACCAAATATGAGTCCGACCTAGACGACGGAACCAACAGAGGTGGTAGCCCCACGCTCAGAAACACAAAAACAGACTTCGATCCGCGCCTATCCTCTTGCATCCCTATCTTTGAACTTGCCTCAGGAGATCTCAGTTCCGACCTGGGACTCCACCCCCACTTTCCCAAAAATCCTTGGCACACCCCTTTTCGCATTTCCAGGCCCACTCACACTCCGACCAGGAAGTCTCGCCGGGCGTGAGGTTGGGCGTCACAGATCATCGCAGAGCCAGGTATGATTCTTACTGGGACGTTGGAGCCGTAGAGTATCTTGGTCTTTTGCATAATCAATGCTGACGGGGGCGCTTTGCCCAGTTATCTGATGGTACCCTCTCCGTCTGACAGTGCAAGGAAGTAGATGCCGTCTCTAGCGTGTGTGCAAATCAAGGGAACCACTCTTCTCTTTGCCATTACTACTTGGCTCCTGGGGAGAGTGTCTGCCAGTCTGCTTCGATCTACCTGATGCCTCAACTTTAGAACACTACTCTCCACTCTTAGTGACTTGGATTGCGCCGAGCTCTCCATTGACGACGGGGACTGTTCCCGAGACATACGGTCTTACTCCCCTTCGCTCTGCATCCTGATGCGAGACTGGGAGGAGATCGAGGTCTTTGATAATTCCGCCTGGTGGGTTACCCCTTGTGCACTTGCCAGCAGTTCCACCTGTTGCGTTTCTCCTTCACCTTCGTCACCCCACCTTCCATTCAAGTTACTTCAATTAGGGACTACTCTTCCCTCTTGTCCAGTTGCTTCTTGTCGCCTTGATTCCTCTTCCACCCAGGCCCGCCCAGGCCCGCCACTGATTCCTCTTTCACCCAGGCCCGCCACGTGGCCCCGCTTCTTCTTCTGCGCCCTACAGCCATCTGCTGATGGTTGGAACTGCCTGAGCGGCCTTGTTCCTTCTCCATTAGTGTTACTTGGTTGGTAGGACCAGCCGCTCCATGCTGCACCCAGGATCCCAAGTCGTGTGAGTGAAAAATTCGTAATTTTTCAACACTGGCAGGTAGTGGTGGGAAAAAAATATCCGGGATTTTAGGGCTGTGTTCCCTGCTCTGCCAGCGGGCCAGCGGGCCACTGGGCCACCGGGCCACCGGGCAGGCGGATTTTAGCCAACAACACTGTTTGTGTGTGGGTATCGAGCCTTCGACCTTCCTTTGACCGCAACTTGTGTGGCTTACTACCGAGCTGCGCCGGTTGGGCTAGCCACGGCATTCGCCTGCTTCCCTTGGCTTGGCCAGCATTCTAGGACGCCATCTGAGTGCGCGGGAGATTGGCCAGCTAGACTGGACCACGTAGACTGGAATCAGGGTAATCGACGGCACGGCTTGCGGCAAAAGACGGCGGTCGACCGGTCGCGCTTACCGCAAAATGCTGACGGCTTTTGTGCCGCAAAAATACCGACAGCTTGTCAGGAACTGCCGGACCCCGGGATGACAGGTTTCCGATATATTTTGGGTCGCTGCGCAATATAGATGTTGCTCATTGCGGGTTCACGGTACTAGCCAATGGCGGTTTACTTTCTTGCCTCGTTTTCGTGCACAGAGGAGACTGGTGTCTCTCCGCCGGCGCATCGACGAGACGGATGTCCCTTGGGGATTCGTCCCACACGCTAACTCGTTCGCTTTTTTGGCGAAAGATCGCACTCATCTGACAGACACATAATTGTGGACAGGTAACACCCAATCGAGAGGAAGATCGAGAGAGAGAGCGAGAGGAGGGAGGGAGGGAGGAGGTAGAAGGGAGGGAGGGGGGGAGGAGGTAGAAGGGAGGGAGGGAGGGAGGAGGTAGAAGGGAGGGAGGGAGGGRGGRGGKAGAAGGGRGGGRGGGARGGGAGGGGGKAGAAGGGAGGGAGGGAAGGAGGGGCAGATGGGCGCGTACCTTAGTCAAGCTGTGACAGAGAAGGAGTCCAGCGATGGGGAGAATGAGCGTATAAAGTTTGGTACATCCGCCATGCAAGGTTGGAGAGTGGGGATGGAGGATGCCCACTCGGCCATTCTGGATGTGGACGATAAGAACACGTCCTTCTTCGCCGTTTTCGATGGTCACGGCGGGAAAGAGGTGGCGAAGTTTTGCGCGCGTTATCTTCACCAGGAGGTCTTGAAAAGTGAGGCATATGGAAAGGGAGACCTATGTGGAAGTCTAATCTCATCCTTTCTGCGGATGGACGAGTTGATGATGGAGGACAAGGGAAGAGAAGAGTTAGCTTTGTTGGCGGCGGGAGGGGAACCTAGCTCTTGCGCCGAAACTGTTCATCCGAAAGGACGGACGAATGCTGGGTGCAACCAGCCACGGATCAGGTTATCGCGCGATCCACCGATCTCAAGCCGAAGCGAGCATAGCGGTAGGGGTCCGAAGGAGAGATTGGGCCGCAACAACAACATGGCTTATGCGGCGCGTAGCGATTCGTTGCCGCGTAGGGAGATCTCTGTGGGGTCGTCGCCCTCGACGCCGTGCACCCCTACAGATCGGTCGGCGACAGCCACGCGGAGCGGCGAGGGTGTGGATGGAGCAGCAGCAGATGCGATTGTTCATGGGAGGGATGAGGGAGCGGCTGAAGGCGAAGGAGCAGCGAACCAGAAAGAAGAGCGGGGAATTCTGCAATCGGAAGACGGAAATGGGACCGTGGAAAGTGGGAATAACGTCGTAGTAGCACAGCGAGGGGGGAATGAGACCGCGAATGCGGGTACGATAAGAGAGGTTTCGCCATTGGACGAGGTGGAAGCAGAAGCGCGAAACGACGGTGGGGAGGTTGACTATGTAGGAGAGGAGGCAGAGATGGATGGGGGGGAGGAGGAGGAGGGGGAGGGGGAGGAGGCAGTTGTCGAAGCACAGGACGAGGAGGATGTGGATGTGATGATAGACCCGGTGAGATGGCAGGAGCGAGTTGAATCTTCAACGAAGTTTCAAGGGCCTGTGGCGGGATGCACTGCTGTCGTGGCACTGGTGCGAGGCGACACGTTGGTGGTCGCGAACGCTGGAGATTCAAGATGTGTGATCTCTAGGAATGGGCAGGCGTGCGACATGTCGATGGACCACAAACCGGATTTGAAGGTGGAAAGGGAAAGGATCCTGAATGCGGGAGGATTTGTGAAAGAGGGTCGTATCAACGCCAGCCTGAACTTGTCGCGGGCAATCGGGGACATGGAGTACAAGCAGAACCGTTCCCTCCCCCCCTCGGAGCAGATCGTGACGGCGTATCCCGAAGTCCGGATGACGAAACTGGTAAAGGGTGACGAGTTCATGATTCTTGCTTGCGACGGTGTTTGGGACGTCATGCCTAGTCAGCGGGCAGTCGACTTTGTGAGAGCGCGTTTGAAGGTCAACAGGCCGTTGTCGTCCATTATCGAGGAGCTCTTCGACACGTGTCTTGCTCCCGACACCACCAAAAACGGTCTTGGATGCGACAACATGACAGCTGTCCTAGTCCTCTTCAAGGACTTGATTGGTGATCACTCATATCAGGGGGATACGGCGGGTGTCTTCCGAAATTTCGGCAGGTATTCTCTCAGGCCTCGCTCCTTTCATATGGGGGACTAAGGGATTCCTTCATGATCGAGACACTGCACACGGAGAGAGAGAGAGAGAGAGAGAGAGAGAGAGAGAGAGAGAGAGAGAGAGAGAGAGAGAGAGAGAGAGAGAGAGAGAGTGATGCGCCAATGCGAACCGCCTCACTCCATCTTCCCTTTTGAACTTCCGCCTGTCGAACATACCATCCGTTCTCCTGCTCCCCCCGTATGTCCATATCTTCTGCCACTTCAAAATGTGCCGTTTTCGTCGCTTATTTTCTTTCATACTCCCTTCTCCTTTCAGCCGGCTATATCCAGCATTCAAACATTCGGTCGTCTGATGGATGAGGTGCAGCTGGCTATGTCGTTGGTGGGCTATTCGGGCGTCTGATGTTTGAGGCGCGTCCTAGTATAGTAGTCTTCTTAAAGGCGCGCGGTCCTTGGTTTCTTTCGGACTACTATGGATGAAGCACTGGACCCGGCAGACCGATCGCTCTAGCTCCTCCGTGTACTTGTGGAGAGTCCCAACCAAGGAGGGGTGTGCAGACCCCTGCCTCCGCCGAAGGTCGTCCTCTCCACTCTGTAGGTCGTTCGAAGAAGAGAAATGGACATCCCGAACATGGCGCGCCACCTGAGAACGCAAATCCGATGGAAGGCCGTTCGTTGCTGCTCTTCTGCTTGTTGATGACTGACTCCCTTTGGGCGACATACCGTGTTTAGTGCGGTGCGGTGATAATGCGAGCGGTAAGGCGAGGACTAGCGAATGGAGAGTTGATGGATCACGGCCCTTCTCTGATTGCTAGATATGAGCGCGGGACAGAAAGAGAGTTGATACAGGTACCCCTTGTCGGCCAGCGGGGCTTGGAGTTATGGACTTGTTGTAAGATCAGCCGCCGCCGCGCGTATTCTGTTTGGAATGTGGACCACCCTTACCGGCTTGTTCTAATGGGGAAGGGGAAAAAGAAAGGTAGGGCGATGCGGGGGGGGGGAAAGAAGGGTGGGGGGGAGGGGAAGACGATGGAGGAGAAGTGGTGGCAAGGAGATGAAGGATGATAGAAAGACGGGGGGAAGTTGAGAGAATCTGCCCGAGCGCAAGGGAAGGAGAAAATGGACAGGTTCTTGGTGGCCCGGAGACAGTGGAAGATGAGCAAGGGAACGTGAATCCGCGAGCAAGAACGCAGGGAGATGAACAATACAGAAGGAGAGAGAAGGAGGTCGGTCAATAGGAAGCGGATGGCGAGTGCCTGTGTGCCTGTGTTCCTGTTCGCAGGCGTGGACGAGGGTGGGGGCAAAGACGGCTTGGAAGGGCGAAAGAAGAGCTCGGAGAGTGTAGAAGGGTGGAGGAGACCTAGGCGGAGGGCAACGAAGGAGGCGGGACGTGTGTGTTTGTTGGGGGGTTGTGTGTGTGTGTGTGTGTGTGTGTGTGTGTGTGTGTGTGTGAGAGAGAGAGAGAGAGAGAGAGAGAGAGAGAGAGAGATTAGTGGCAGGGGTTGAAAAGAGTGGTTGTACTCATCTGCTGAATATGGAGCAGGCTAGGTTAGGTTAGGTTAGCGTAGAGGTGATGGAGGGGAAGAGGGGGTGGGGGATAGACAGATCCGTCGGCTTGCTGGCAGTGTACGCATCTGCTATGAAGTATCACGTTAGGTTAGCGTAGGGTAGATTGGAAGGGGAAACAAGCATGATTTCAGTGAGGAGAGCGGAATGGGCCTCTCTCAGTAGAGGTTGAGGGCCAAGGAAACTCTTGGTCTGCAGAGCAAGGGGAATGCCAGATCTGTGCAAAGGAATTGAAGAAGGCGGTCGAAACGAGGCAAGCGTGCGATCATAAGGGGGATGAGCAAGCGCACTGCGGGTGATCGAATAAGAGAGCGATTTTGGACACAGTTAAACACACATGCACAGGTGTGGGTAGGAGTTTTCTTCTGAAGGTCTTATGTGTCCAACCAACAGTCGTCGTTACGACACGAACTAGACGAGATCTGGTGGTTGAAGGACGCCTCACCGTATAGACGACTAGTCTGCAATAAGGTGCGCACTTAAGATCACATGTTCACACAAACAGCTTTGACGTGCTATTCCTATGAGAACGGATTTGGCTGTTACGGTCTTGCGTGACCTGTGTTTGCCGTACCTCCCGATGGTTGGGTGTGACTCGGGCAAAAGGTCCGACTCGGATGGGAGGATAGCACAGGGGTAGGGGTGGAGGCTTCGTCGTGAAGCGTAGCGAATATGGTTGGGGCTATTGTTCTCCCTACAGAATGCGAGTCTCCCTGTTCCGAGGCAGGAGCACGTTTCCTGTCTTGTCTGGCGATGTCTTGTATAGGTTTTCCAGCTTTCAACTTGTTTGGCTGACAGCCGATGGATCCTTGCGAACCCAACGGCGAACCCTGAAATGTTTTGGTGTTGTTGGCGAATGCAGATGTGTGAGGATCATGAATCCAGCAAGCGAACACAAGCAATTCACAGAATATTACCGAAAGAATACTCCGGTCCGAAAAGGTGATGTCGTGCGAACTCTGCATGCCCTCGTGTTAAGCGAACTATGTATGATCCGGTCCTCTTGGGGATAGCTTTGTGCGGTTTTTCCTCTTTGAGTGTTGCCTATTTTTTCCAGCTTTCAACTTGTTTGGGTAACAGTCAGTGGCAATGGATCCTTGCGACAACAGTCAATGGCAATGGATCCTTGCGGCGAACCCAACGGCGAACTCTGAAATGTTTTTTGGTGTTGTTGGCGATTGCGGGGCGTTAGAGTTCTGACTGCAGATGGGTGAGGATGATGAATGCAGAAAGCCCACACAAGCAATTCACAGAAGATAACCCACCAAAGGTACTGCGAGGTGAAAAGGTGATGTCGTGCGATCTCTGCATGCTGGTGTCAAGCGGATTATGCATGTTTTTTGTGGTGTTGTTGGGGATAGGGGCTCTGTAGCTGAATGCCGATGTCACATTGTGATGCTCGTCAATCAATATGGAAAGCGAACACAAGCAATTCACAGAATGTACGCAGAATCAAGGTGATCTCTTGGGGGAAAAGGTGATCTCTTGGGGGGAACTCTGCATGCTGCTGGTGTCCAGCGAAAGAACTGTGCATGTTTGGTCTTGTTGGGGATAGGGCAGAGTATTAGGGACTCTGCAGTTGAACGCAGATGTTCACGATGTGATGCTCATAGATGTGGAAAGCGAACAGAAGTAATTAACAGAATATATCCGTATGCAAGCTACTCCGTGTTGGAAACGTGATGTCGTGCGAAGAACTCTGCATGTGTTTTTTGGTGCTGTTGGCAATGGGGGCTTTGCCTCCGAATGCAGATGTCTAAGGAATCTGAGGATCATAAATGCAGAGAGCGAACAGAAGCAATTCACAGAATATAACCAGAAGCTACTCCGGGCTGAAAAGTGGTGTCTTGTGGCATGGAAGAAGATGAGGCTAACAACAGATCAGGCGGACAAATGCAACAAGGAACAATGACGAATGACTGCCATGGTTATGGCGGAACGGCCTTCATGAGAAAGGTTATGTCGTGGTCTATGTGCACGTGGCTTGCAGGTTGTGCAGTGGTGATGGTGAGGTCCACCTGTCACGTGGATTCCTGGTTCTGCAGTCCTACTTCCTATTTATGAAAGGGCCGATCTACAGTCTCTTCCCTCTCCCCCCCCCCCCCCCCCCCCCGAGCCCACTCTCTCTCTCTCTCTCTCTCTCTCTCTCT